AAAGAGAATAAACTGTAGTCACTTTCCATTCATTTATCAAGGGTCCCCAAGACCACCTTTAGTGTCCATTGATCACTGGGAGGGATAAATGGGACTCAGCGTGTAGTCACACTCATGACTAAGAGTTATTGTAGCAAAAAGATATAAAGCAAAATATGCTAAGGGAAAAGGTACATGGGCAAGGTCCAGAGGAAACCAGGAGAAATCTTCTAAGAGTCCTCTCCCAGTGGAGTCATACAGGGACATGTTTAATTATTCCAGCATCAAATTGTAACACTTAGGAAGTGTTTTCTACCAGGGAGATTGTACTCAAGGTGTTTTATAGAAGACTGATCATATGGGTACCATCTCCTCTGCCTAGCTGTGCACCAAAATTCCAGTCTCTCAGAAGGAAAGCAGGAGTTTAGCATAAACCACATTGTAAAAACAGTTGAGGCACAGTGAACCATTCTTTTCACAAGTTCCCAGAATAAGGGTCAACCTTGCAAGGAGGCCTTTCTAAAGATAGCAGTCTCAGGCCTGTTAACTCATTTTTACACATCATGATATCCAAAGAACTTTGTTATTTTTTCTTCTACTTCTTTATATAGAATATAAAGCGTTTAGACTAAATAATCTCTCGTTAGGAAATTTAGTAACAGTCAAAATGTTTTGAGAATGACTTGAACAGTTTAAGTGGATTGAGTAAGTGAGTTTATTTACTGAGACATATTTTCTGAAAAATCCCTTGGTAGTATTATTCATAGTCTGTACTGGTTTTAGTAATTACAAAAGTGGTTTGCTTTGTAGTAAAATTTTATTTTTCAAAAAAATTTTTTAAATTAATTTTCTTAGCGTTCACTTGAAAAATATTATCACGAATGTGGCCATCTGCTTCAAAGCAGACACTGAGTTTTCTTCACTTTTCTTCTACTTTTCATGTTCCAAAGGGTCTATTTGAAACTTGTCATCTTTGCGTTTGATTTTGTGAGTAACTAATCTTTTTTTTTTCTTTTTTTTTATAGGCCAAGATGCTGAATTATCAGGGACACTTTCACTTGTTTTGACACAGTGCTGTAAAAGAATAAAGGATACTGTTCAGAAATTGGCCTCAGACCACAAAGACATCCACAGCAGTGTTTCTCGGGTTGGAAAAGCCATTGATAAGGTATGGTGTTGAAGGAAGTGTTTGGTATTTTTAAGCATCAGCCTTCATCTCCTGTCACTGCTTTAATAACATTAGCTTTTTTATTATTTTATGCTATTCCTATTGCAAATCTGGTTTTACTATGTCATTCTTAAAGTTCCCTATTGCTATTATTTAAAAAACAAAAATAAAAACAAACCAGAAAAAACTCTTTTGACAGCCTTGTTATTTATCCATTTGTTTAAATGAATACAGCTCCTACTGTCATGATGAGTAAATTTCCAAAGAAATTTTAACTTACTATGAAGGAGTTTGCTTACAGAAGTAACTTTTCTTACTTCCTGAGTAATTCCCTGGCTGAGACTCTGTCTGTGTTATGGAATGATTAAGAAAACACCCTTGCATCCGTTTCCCCTATATTATCCTAACCAACTCCCGTCTTCTGGTGGGCATACTAGTCACTTTCCTTCAGTGTTGCTTTATGTGTGAGTGAGGTGGTTGCTAGCCATCAAGGCCTGTCACTTGTTGGGTGATTTTTCTTATAATATCTCTTGAATCTTTGACTTAGCGGCTTCATTATAAGCAGTTATCATTTTTAGCAGTTGGCCAGTTTTGCCCTTTGAGTTCATAGTCCTAGTGGGGCCTAAGAGAAATAGCGTAAGATTACTGTGTGATACTTCTGAATACATAAGCCACTGGGGAGTTTGTGACTGGTTATGGACATTTTTGTTCACACATTGTAAAATTCTGAGAGGACAGGAAGAACTTTTGGGGTGCACTCTTTGTAGCAAAGTCATCTCTAACCAGTCCTATGAGTTTAGTCTGTACACACAAGAGCAATAACTGTAATGTAGATAAAAACTCAGGAAATTCCGAGAGTGGCTCTGTCTAACTCGTGGATGGATAAGCCTGTTAGAAATTATCCTATGGGACAGTTATATTGAAAGGCTAAACTTGAGGCAGTCTAAGTCAGAACTATGTGCTTCTAAGGAGATATTTTTAACTGGTGGGTGCGATATGTTAGGACCGTGAATGGTAGGAGTTCTGGGGACTGTTTGGGTGGCTGTGGCTTACAGAAGAGTTAGTGACTTTTCAGAGAGCTGACCCCTCCCATAGTGCTGAGGGCTTCAACCTAGCAAAAGTGACCAGAGAAGTGGTGTGGGCAGCAGCAGCCCCGTTTTTGGATCAGTGATGGCTATTTCCAGCAAAGGCTAGGAAGACAGTGAATATTCTCTGAAATAGCTTTGAGGTTGTGATGCCTGTTTGGTAACTCAAAGGGAGTGAACACAGCTTTGATATCAGACTATTTGAGCCTGTGGCCTTGGAAGTCTTCACTTGGTACCTGAAGTGATTATTGGTGTGTACTAGCTTAAGGACTTACTAGAATGGTGGTGGAGCACTTTAGAGATTCTTAAATTATTGTCGATGAGAAACACTCAGTTTCTCAAGGATAAAGTAACTACTGGTGGTGGTTAGGAAGCTTCAGATTTTGGTGGCAGGCAGTGAACAAGGCATTCTAGCGATTCTGGTGGTTCATACCCCAGGAGGTTCCTGGAAGCATTTGATTTGACCACAAGGTTGCCTGCAATTATGATAGAGGATAGGACAGTAGGACCAGAAGATGCCATAACAGTGAGAAGAGCTGAAGCTTCCAAAGCAGCCCATCAGAGAAAGTACCTGAGAAGAGCCTAGATTTTGGAAATAGGTGAGGATGGCCTCAGCAGCCATATCTCAAGTGTATGGACTGCTGGCCACTAGGATCAGGAGCGTTTGGGCAAATAATTCACCAGCTTTGCATTCTGCCGCTGGATTCCCCATTTCCTAGTTTATGTACATTGTCCTGTCATAATTATCGTCAGGACCCACTTTTACTCTTGTCCTCCTAGCTGCCGGTAACTTGCTGAGCATGTCCTCCACTTGATCTAGCAAATCTTTACAGATATTGTAAAGGTTATCAGATAATTTGGTTAATCTTTGTGACAAAGCATTTAAATGTATTTGGTGCTAGAAATGGCAGTATCTCTGAGAATGGATACCAGGGAAATATAGTGAGTAATCTAAATTCTGGCTTTTTAGGTGTGCATGTGTTTGGGGAGAGTGTTCCTAATTATGTATTTTAATTTACTTATTTCTTCTTTGAGGACTCTTTTCATGTACTTGGAAGTTATAAGGGTTTTTTAAAGTAAACTTTTTTGTAGTTTTATGTTCTCGGGAAAGTTCTAGGTGACCTAGAATTCTTCTGATCCGTCATATGAAATTATGTTACTGAGTTGATATTGGTAAGTATTTGTTGAATTATAGTCGCAGGGAACAGAAAAAAGCCCGAATCTTTTAGCTCAGTTCTTTAACCTCTTTCAGTGCATTCTCTCCAATTGTTTTTTGTCATCTACTTGGCCTCAGCTGTAGACCTACCTAGATGTTATTCATGAACTTCTCACATACACAAGAAATTCTCTGTAGGCCGTTGTCATATGAGACTCCATTGACTTGTAAAGTCTTTTTTTTTTCTTTTGGACCTGGTAAATTTGTACAACCTTCCAGGGCCACCTGTTACAAAGGCTTGGTGAACTCATGTGCATTGGTGGTAAACAAACAGAATGAAGCCGAAGCCATTGTGGCACAAGCCTTTAAGTACCACAACAGACAGACTTGTGTAATAAACTGGAATGCTGTCCAGCAGCCTGTGAGCACCATTTTATGGATTCTTGTCCCCACCCTCCAAGAAGAGGACAAAGAAACTGGTGACTCCTTTATGAGCAAGCTGGTTTGAGTAAAGAACTTTAGTAAATTTTTGACACACTAAATGATTTTTTTTCTTTAGTGTTTTAATGCTTCTTGTGTTTTAAAGTTTTATAGTCATCATTTCTATGAAATGTAAGCAGAAAAGCAGTTTGTGGTATTAGCTAAGGTGTTTCGTGACTTTTAATTACTGTAAACATAAAATGCTGTTGAAGATTTCTGCTTTAACGTGTTGACTGTTTTCAGATGTCCATAGTATTATGCTCACTATTTAAAATACATAATATCAGTGGAATATAAACCTAAAAGCAACAAATGAACAGGACAAACAAACAGACTCATGGACATGGACAATAGATGAGTGGTTACCAGAGGGGAGGAGAGAGGTAGATGGAGTAAAAGGGATCATATATGGGGTGACAGAAAGAAATCTAATTGTGGGCGATGATCACACAATGCAACATATATACATGCTTTACTGCTAAATTGTACACCTGAAACTTTCTGGACTTTCGTCACCATAATTAAAAAATAAATAAATAAAAATAAAATACATAATATCAGCCACTGGGTTCTGTGGCTGTTTTTTTTCTTGTAAAATAGATCAAATAATGTTTTGGTTTATTTTTAATTTCCTCTCCCATTTTAAGAGAATCTAGACGTATTATTGAATTATACACTTAAGAAGACACATATGATTTTATTAACTAGTATCACCTCAATACATTTAATTAAAAAAAAAAATCTAAAATTCTCTCCTGTTAAGGGTGTTTTATTCAGTGTTTTACTTGTTTTGACTTTTTAGTTGATTTCCTAAGTAAGAAAAGTTAATGAAATGATTGTTGCTGTAGGGGTGTGTGTATGCATATTAAAATCAATAATGCAAAGATTTTAAGGTGTTTAAAATTTGCTGTGAGACAGTTGAAAGTGAAACACATAGTACATGTTCTTTAGAAGATTGTGGTCTAGTTTGGTCATGTAAGAGTGCTTTTCGTGTATACAGAAGAACTGAAAGAATTCTGAGGTAACATAAAATAAGTTTGCTTGGGATAGACTCTACTTACTGTAAAGTAAGAGAAAGATTATTGTGCCCTTAATTAAGGTTTGTGGCATTGGTGTTTTAAATTTGACTTGGAAGAATAGTAAATGGTTTTCTGTGGGGCTAGGAAAGGTGCTGAACAACTGAGAATATGCTTGACTCTTGTTAAAGATTCAGGGACTGACATGATGAGAATGGTAACCCTGTTGGGAATAAGCCAGGATCAAGTCGAGGGGGAAGGCACATGATGGAGGGCCTAAGGATTTGACCCAAGGAGATTAAGTGAAAACGGAGTGAATGATAAAAGCAAATGCTTGCCCTCATTAAATAGGATAAAATTAGACTAAGGAGGAGTCAAGAGTAGGAAGATAATAGCTATCACTTATTGAGTATTGACCATGTTCCAGATACTGAGCTAAGTGCTCAGTATATTTATATCTCATGATGTGGGTACATTATTCCCGTTTTACATATGAGGAAACTAAGACTCAGAGATATGAAATAACATACCCTAGGTGTACAGCTTAGAAGTGATGGATCAAGATTTGGAAAAAGATGTCAACAGTCTGTTTTTAAACACTGTGCTGTACTAGGAAATTAGGCCATTGCAAGGCTGGTAAGGTTCTGCCAGGGAGAATAATTGTTAAAAAACATTTTTTTTTAACATTGCCTAAACTGATCTTTTGCCAATAGAGGGCGCATCTACATTGGTGAGGCAGGTACTATATTAAAAAACAAATGGAGTGTATAAAAAGTGAAATATAGAATATTTTAAGATAGTTTTGGTGAGCAGTCTGGAACTTCCATGTAGGTATGACAGGAGTATGAGAGGAAAAAGATACCAGTGGGAGATAATGTCCTAGGTTTAGCCTTCGATAGTAGTTTAGGTAGACTGTGAGTGAGAGCAGGTGTATACTAGCTCTAAAGTTCTGTTATATAATGGATAAATCCTTGTGTAGTAGAGAGAGATTACTGTTAAAGGGGAAAAAAGAGAAAATTTGCTCTGCTTAAGAAGAAAAAGAGCTGAGTTGAGTTCTGATATATATACAGATAATTTGATATATATCCTAGGTGGAATTTTTAGAATTACTGAGAAAGAATAATTAACAAAATTATAGAGACAACAGTGATAAAAAAGCCAAGAACATGTTCCCTAAAAATAAAAAATATCAAACTAATTCCCCTCCCGCCAAGAAAATGTAGAAAAAGTCAGTGTGTCTAAATTTTTGCAAGGCATTTTATA